TAACGTACTCTCTCTCTCTCTCTCTCTCTCTCTCTCTCTCTCTCTCTCAACCATGGTTGAGATAATTATTAGGCATGCAAGGGAAACCTATAGTACTGCGTTTTGAAATAGGATTTTTCGAAGTTTAGATTGAATCAGGGCAGTGGAAGGTGTTCTTTCACTTTTGGTAGCTGAGCATGGAATTTGGGCTTGGGCTTTATCGGCTGTTTCGGGCCAAAATAGCCGCTCTCTACGCTCTCCCTCTTGGACACAGGTGTCTTGGTGACTAATGCCAACAGATCCATTGCATCATTTGCTCCACACTACTAGGTTTTGATAGTATTGAAAACTATTATCAATATTAAACATTTAATCTATTATCATCATATATCCATACACGGTTTAAACAAAAGAAAATTTATCAAAAATACCCCATTAGAGATGCACCATTTAACGTTCTACCCATTTGCAACTATTCCAACACAAGATCATGTATTTTTCTATGGGTATTTTGAAATTAAATTAAATGATATGGGTAAGGTGTTAAATTGTTCCCCTCATAGGCAATTTGATAAATTTCCCTAAAATAAATAAGCAGAGATATTATTAGCAAGTAATTTCTTTTGGTTTTCTGATGGAATGGTTTTTCATATTAATAAAACCAAAATTTACAAGTATTTATTAATGAATGGAAAAAATTGTTATATTTGTGTGTGGTTTGTACAAAATTGGAACCAACAATTTCACTCCTAAGAAGAGGGGTCTAGTAATAAGAAGGTTAGGTAATGAGACTCCTTTGGCGAGGGAATCTGCTGAGGCATTTGCCTCTCTCCATGATTGTCTGAATGATACCTGTAGGAATCGGCAAATGTCAACGACCCGATCAAAAATAGATTCCAATCTCAAGGGGTGGATAAATATTTCCTTATCACAATTTAGAAAGGTGGTTCCCAACTTCTTTCGAACACATTTGAGACCAACGAGCTATGCAATTAGCTGCATTTGCAATGCCTATTGGGCCTGAGTAAGTGATTGAGGTCTCGGCTGAATGATTTGTGAAAATGCCCCTGATGCCAGCTGGTTCTGGATTGCCGAGGGAGCTATCAAGGTTGAGTTTGATGATGCCAAGCTCGGGTAGGATCCAGTAGGAAGATCTATAGTATCAATTCTTGAGCGCATTGATGTGACTTTTTATTCTCTCTCTCCCTCTCCCTCTCCCTCTCCCTCTCTCTCTCACATATCACTCTTAATGTAACAGACAATGTCGAATGCATCATAATTGATCTAAACAAATAGAAAATGCAGAAGGGAAAAAAAATTGACCTTTTAACCTACCCCCCCCCCCCCCCCCCCTCCCCCTCCTCCGGGGGGCAAGAAAAAGAAAAAGAAAAGGGGGCGGTTTGGAATAGATAAATGGAAGACTTTCCTAATAAGAAATAGATGACACCTCTAAGGTCAAGGGTTTCATAGAAAAACAACTCAAATTTACATGATATCTTAGGCCAAGGAAAATCACACTTTCGTCCAAAAAAACTGGGTTCATGAGGCAATGCATGACATTTTCTTTTCAGGTCAGTAACTTTGTTAAATGAAACGTTGGGGGCAAATAGGGTTGATTTCTCTTCCTCAAACATCTGTTCATTCAAATAGTTACACACTTGGGAATGTTAACCACAGGGTACAGCTGATTTAAATGATTCCAGATATGGTGAGCCTAATTGATTTTTCTACTGCTGTTTCAAAGAAGTAAAACATTTCCAGTAAGAAGTGGATAATGGTAGCACTATAAAATTATATGTCAAACCATAGAAAATCGCAATGATGCTATGTTATGATTCCCAAGTCCCAAGCGACATGTTAGTTCTTATCAGTCCTGTATTTATTTATTAAAAGAAAATGAATATTTGACTTGCATAAGTATTGGAATATTGAGGGAGATGGAATTGTTAGACAGAAAATGATCAGGAAAGACGTGTAAAACAGAATTCAGCAAAATAAAAAGGAAACAGCAAGGAACTGAGGAAATTAAAGTTGGAAGGCATGAGTAGTAGGTAGGTTCTGAAAAAAAAAAACCATATGGGTCGGTGACAATGTAAAAACCTAGAGAAAACAGCAGCTTACAGGATCAAAGACAAAGCAGAAGAGATTGAAAAGATGAACACCAATATTTACGAACTCTGTCACTGATGTGATGACATCCACAGGAAAAGAGGAACAATGGTTTCACTATGGAAGCTCCAAAAGGTACAAGACAACTCCCCTTGCTTTTTAAGTCTGGGTACCCACCCTAGGGCCCCTTCGATTCATAAGGCTGCCCGGACCGCCTAGTTGGCCAGGCGGCCGAATTTTTAATTACTGATTCGTTGCAATCTCTAGAGTACTATAGAGGGACCTTTTTCTATTAATTTTATTTTTATTTATTTAGTTTTTCTGTGTGTTTTTTGCAGGATGGTAGCTCAGAGTTGCCATATGAACTTAGGATGTAGAGTCACTATTGCCAACATTCACACCATCAATCCATGTACCAGATGCTCCAAATAGGGTATGTTAGCATGGTTTAGTTATTGGAACAAACTTCAAAGGTTTGAACCCTAGACTAAAGCCTAATTACATACTATAAATCGACCTTGAACCACGAACAATAACCTATGATTATCATAAGCCCCAATTCTCTTAAAAGCTCCTCTCTTGGGGACATAGAGTGTTATCAAGGAGCATCAACATGCCACTAAACTTGTCAACCGCTGAAGGGAAACAAAAAAGGAGAAAGCAACAACTTAACATGCAAATGTAGGGATCAACAATGATCCCAAAAGTTAAGGGGCACAGCCCAACAATTGATTCCCAAACCACGTCTTTATAAAATTAATGGCCAGCGGTTTCAAACACCTCAAAAAAAGCCCACATCACATAATCTCAGCAACATAGTGTATCGCCTCCACTCCCTAGCTACGAATCCAAACGCACTGAGCCTATGCTACCCCCCTTGCGATTTTCAATAGACCACCAACTTCTTCACATATGTCCTGTTTGAACATCCACTTTTTTAGGCTTAGGGATAAAATTCCCTTATAGTGGTGTTGGAATAGGCCACGTTTCTTGATGCCCCACCATTCATTCCCACAACTCCAACAATCAAACATAGTTTATCAGAAAAATGCTAACAATAGGGAGATTTCGTGGATAGTGACAAAAGCGAAAAAGCATCTTTTGCTGCTATTGACAAAAACAAGGATACCTTTACTGGCCTTTTCAATCATTTTCCCCTCCAAATAAGGGCAAAAGGTGTTGGGGGATTTTCTAAACTCCAAAATTTGTTTTGAGCCTCTAGAGACACCCAAAAAAAGAATAAAATAAAGTAAAATTCTGAATTTGATTTGATTGAACTTCGAATTCGAAGTTTCTTAAAAAGTTGATCCAAGCATCACCCGTTTGTTTGAGATTCAATTCTATCCATTTTGGAAGCTTATTAGAGGGTTATTAGCGAGCTTTTGAGATCGGTAAACATCTCAAATATTGAAGATTGAACATCGAGCATAAAAGTTAGTCAAGAATCTTCGTATTTGTGATTTTATTTGTTATTTCGATGTCTTCTTTGGGTTCTTCTAGAAGTAGTGATTAAGGTTGGCAGTATTGTTATAACCTGAATCTGAAGAATAAAACTTGTATAAGGTGTAAGAAAAAGATACTAATGGGAGTATAAACTGGTTCAAGAAACACCTTGCCGGTATTAGGGGTCATGTTGCCTCTTGTAAGAAGATTCTTAATGCTATTGAGGAGAGATTAAACACTATTTGAATTTGGTAAAACAACATAAGGATGGAAAAGGGGGCCCGCGTAGCAGATTTAAGAGCTCGGGTTCATGTATTTGATGATGTTAGTGAGGATGAGGAGGATATTGAGGTGGCTCAAGGGGCTTTGTCCTAGTCTAGAAGAGTAAAGGGAGTTGTCATCTGGTTTGGGCCCAAGAAGCCTCAGGTGAAGGGGCCTATGGATTGATTTTTCCCCCCTAACCCTAAGATTACAATTGAGATAACAAACAAGCAGACCATGATTGAAAATTGATTCAAGAAGGAAGAGAGAAACTGAGTAAATCAGTACATTGCTCGGTGGATGTATGTGGCGGGCATTCCTTTCGCCGTTCATATAAGCAGCTTCTACACCATGGTGGAAACAAGTGGCCAATTGGGGTGTGGGATGAGGGCCCCACCCCATATGCACTTTCAGAGCCTCTTTTGAAAAAAGATGTGTAACTCAAGAGGGGGTTAGTCAACATACATGAGGCATGGGCTAAATATGGGGTATCTATTATGACCAACTCTTGAAGCGATAAGAAGAGGAGTCTGATGAATTTGTTGGTCAACTGTCCTTTAGGACAATCTTTTTGAGATCTATTGATCCCTTTGATGACACCACGAAGTCTCCTATATACATAAATTGATTGAGATGGGTATTAAAGAGGTTGGGGGGCAGCATGTTATTCAGGCAGTCACAGACAATGCTACTTCTAATGTAGTTGCTTCTACTATGTTGTGCCATAACATATGTGGTCTACAATAGCCCCACCAAAAGTGCAACCTTTTAATTGGATAGCATGCCAAGAAAAAGCCCTCACAGTTGACCAAATACAACAGAGGGGAATTCCCATTCCCAAATCGTTGTGTTATGCGTCTCTGCGAAGAAGAGAGCAACTCCGACCTTTTTATCCATTGCAACCTTGCACTCAAACTTTGGCGCCAACTTCTCCATCTTTTCGGCCTCACCTAGGTTACTCCTGCTTCCCTGTCGGTCCTCCATAATTTCTCGATGGACTGTCCATGGCCAAAGGCGGGCAGGCTTTTATGGAAGGCCTCCATAGCGGCAACGATTTGGGTCATCTAGACCGAAAGAAACTCATGGATCTTCCAAGGTGTCAAGAGCGAAGCTTCGGCCTCGGCCCTATTCCACAAAATTACCTCTCAAGTCATTTTCAAGGCTTCCAACCACAAGGCCTTCACTGGCATTTTGGCTTCGTCATTCCTACAAATTTGGGAAAATGTTCCATTTCCACTCCCCTCGGGTCTCACGAGCTAACAACTGGTCTCCTCCCCCAAAAGCCCTCAATAAACTCAACTTTGACTGGTGTTCCCTAGGAAACCCAGGACCAGCAGGAGTGGGTGGGGTCTTCAGAGACCACCATGGCAACATCCTGGTCTCTTTTTCAAAGTACATTGGCCATGCCAACTCCCAGCTTGCCGAGTCTACGGCTCTCCTCTCGGGTCTCAAAATGTTCGACCCCATGTGGGGACTACCACTGATCGTTGAAGGAGAAGCCAGAAACATAATCACTTGGGCTGCTGGAAATGCCCCTCCCCCCGGTACCTTGCTTTGATTTATGATAAGATTATGCATGTTTGCAAGGATATAGCCATCTTATGGAGGCATACCTGGAGGACATCAAACACCGTGGCCGATCAAATGGCTAAGGAGGGAGCGGTTGCATGTGTGGCAGCTTCATAAGAGCATGGGATTTTTTGGCGCATCTTTGTTTTTCGGTCCCATCTTTTCTATGGACTTATGGAATCCTTGGATCCACATTTTATATGTTTATATGTTTTTGTAAATCCTCTGTAAATGGGCAACTGTTATAAGCCCCACCAATTTTTTGTATAGGGCTACTCTTTTTGGAAGCCTACTTTTTTGCCGAGAGGCCCGGCCTGTGGGCTCTCTCGATGGACTACTGTAATCTTTTCGTTTACTTAATACAATAGTTAACTTCATCAAAAAAACCTTGTTGCGCCATAACTACCCTCATATCGTTTGGACACCATGCACAACCCACTGCATAGACCTCATGCTTGAGGCTATGGCAGTATGCTTGAGATTGAAGGCACAACTAGTAAGGCTAGGTCAGTTACAACCTTTGTTTTTAGCCACACCCTCACCACCCTCAACATGATGCACAAGTTTACAAAAAAGTGGGTGAGAAATAGAGAGCCCAGGGTTACAAGATTTTCTACCCAGTTCTTATGTTTACATAGCATTCATAAGAGGAAAAAACGATTGAAGCAAATGCTTACCTTTGCCGATTGGTCACACTAAACGTGGGTCAGGCATCAAAAAGGGAAGAAAGGAGAAACCATCCTATCTAAGCATTTTTGGCGTGGGGTCAAAC